TTTTTAGGGGTGAGGTTTTGATATTTGATATATTTTTGTGGTTGAATTGGTGGAGCTCTACTTAGAACAACTTTTTGTAAGATCAAGATGGTAAATTGGCAATCTCCCATATTTTGAATTTTTAAGGTTGGCATCTCTGCATCATTGTTACACAAGTATGTGCAGTTCATGCAGACTTGTCTTGGAACTTCTCAAGTTCAGTTTTGGACATTACATTGATTTCAGAGGATGTTCTGTTTCTGTCAGTAGCACATCACTGTTTAATGGCATTAATCATCGTACACTGTGCATGGCATTTCTGTCTTTCAATATTCTCACAGACAGTGTAGACTCAGCCCTTAGTCGTCCAGGTTTGGGTAATCTCAGCTTATGCCATTGCCATAACTACAACCTAGACATACAAATTGGGTGAAGAAAATGCAAATTCATTGTAAGTTGTAAATTAAGCTCTTTAAGCTTGAAAGACAAGCTTGGTGTGGCAACATTTGCATCAATTCAATGTCTATACATATGCTAAACTAAATTAATTGTTCAGTTGATAAATTCATGCTAATGAGATCAGAGAATGCTGGCAGAAAGAAACAATTTCGTATGTTAACTAACCAATGCTTGATTTGTTAGGAGCTTGACTATGATGTCCACTTTTGGATCGGCAAGTATTCAACTCAGGATGAGTATGGCACAGCTGCATACAAGACAGTTGAACTTGATACCTTTGTGAGTATTATAAGTGAGTGTGGCAAAGATACTTTACGGACATTTGCACTAATATTATTGTTTCTGCGAATCCTTACTGCACACACAAATTCACATGCCACGTCATGCATGAGAACGCTCTACATAATAAAATGAACCATGATAGGGCAGATGGCCATTGCTATAGCTTTTCCTGGATTTAACGGTCTTGGACATTTGGTGACCCCTATTTTTCTTTTGATGGGTCATTTTCTCTACTGATATTCTATGTTTAGCGAAAAAGAAGAAAATCTATCAACTAGAAGTTTGAACTTTTTGCAAAATGCACCACCGAAATCCATTCCTTTTAGCTCTTTGTTTATCTGTGCAACGGTTTCAAATGCCTCTTGAAGGGTTAAGTTTTGTGAAAATGTTGGTAACATTTAGAATTATTTTGGCAACAGACCCACTTCTACAAAATACAACTAAGGTCGTATGCCTCCGTTGACTTACCTTAGATATTTTAAACTATAAACCCCTGTAGACCATGCTGAATTACGTGCGCCAATTTTTCAAAATAGTTTTCCACATGCTTTATCTCTGAAATGAAGTCAGTGACCCCCAATTTTTTTTTGCATTTCTGACACAAGTAACTCATTATCTGACTGCAGTAAAAATTTTAAAAAA